GCAGCAGGTTAGGCAGGATGCAGCTGTTGGCAGAGCAGTGCTGCAGTTTATTTGTGCTTCGATTCTGACCCACCTCCATAGGCATGGCTTGGGAATCACCTAAGTGAAATGGACATAAGCAAGCACTTGAAAAAGAAAAAATGGTTATTTACCTTGTAACTGTTGTTCTTCGAGATATGTTGCTTATGTCCATGTGAATACCACCCACCTCCCCTTTGTCGGAGAGGGGGGGTCCAGGCCCACCCTCACTCATGGACCCCAGCCCAGAGCCCTAAGGACTCGGACCTAGAACGGTCCGGTCCGGCTGGCGGGGCTTCCCGCCAAAACACGCCAGCCCATGGGCTACCTGCGAACGCCCTGCCCTGGGCTGCTTTCTCTCCCTTTACCTGGCTCTCTTAACTTCCCTACTGCCTCCATCCCTCCACCCCTTTCGGTCTCCATCTCCCTTTCCCAATTACCTGTGTCCTGGCTCGGCATCCTGCCCCTACCCAGTGGGCACCTCCCTCTTTCGTACTCTCCCAGGCCATGCCCTGTCTTCCCCATGTCATGCTCTCTCCTCCTTCTTATGCTCCTTCCTCGGACACCGCCCCCAAACAGCTGTTTGGCATCCCCGTCGTATGCCGTGCCTGTGCTCACCCCAACTTGCCACCCTTCCCCCCCCCATTGCTGGCTGACATGGGGGGGAGGGTTAAGGTATGGGGCTGTAGTGCCCCGTCATACACTGGTGCTGCCCTGCATGGTTGGTTGGCAGCGTGAGAGCACGCCATGCATGCACTCGCCCTGGCTCACCACGCCCCGTACAGGACCTGAGAGGGAAGTTTTGAAGTGCGGGTCACTACGTCACAAGCTCCTTAATAATCTCTACAAGTCTTCTTGTCTTAGTCATATGCATTAACAGGATAGTAAGCTATAGTCTACCACAACATATAGGTTCATCAGTAAAGGATCAGTTCTTTCTAGAAATCATGATCCTCTTCCAACAGAAAGAATTGTGGTTTCTTCTTTCAGAGCTTTGTATTTGAAGGGGAAAAACAATATATGTGCATATTAACTTACTGAAAGGGAGCTGATTTCTATTAGGAAGATTACACTTCAGTGTTAAATGTTTCAGGAGATCTTCTGTAACATGGTGGCAACTGTAATAAATTGTCAGCAAAGTTATCTCTTTCTATCATAGTAGTTGCTTGATCTCCTGGCAGATGCTTTTGTAGTACTTGGGGAACTGGCATATATATTCCTACCTCTGCGTATCTATTTTGAATTTTTTCCAGACTATGAAGAAGGAAAAGGCAAAAATCGTATGTTAGTCCCATTTTGGTCCAGATGTCTATGGCTATCAGGCCTTGCTTTAGGATAATCTTCCTGACCATATATCTCAATTTACCTTGAATACCTATTGTCTTCTCATTATCTGTTTTGTTCTCACTTGATTGGCACAAAAGCTTCTTGATACAAGATGATGATAAATAGTCCACCATTTTTTTCTAAGTGACAGGATGCTGAGCAAAACCTAACAAAAATTCTGTTTTATTTCTTCTTGTAGCTACGTTACTTTTAGAAAGTTTTGTCAAGTATGGCCACAATAACAGAAACAATTGTTGAAAGGAAGCTTCAGTTTTATTCTGGATGTCTTAAAATCTTTCAAGATTAACATTTTATGGGCAGAGAAATTAAACATGGTTATCTGTAACTAACCATTGCTAAGTTGAGTCTTCATAGAACAGAATAATAGAATCATAGAATACTAGAACTGGAGGGGACCACAAGAGGTCATCAAGTCCAGTCCCCTACCCTCGTGGCAGGACCAAGCACCATTCTAGATCATCCCTGACAGATATTTATCCAACCTGCTCTTAAATAACTCCTATGATGGTGATTCTACAACCTCTCTAGGCAATCTATTCCAATATTTAACCACCCTGACAGGAAGGTTTTCCTAATGTCCAATCTAAACCTCCCTTGCTGCAGTTTAAGCCCATTGCTTCTTGTCCTATCATCAGAGGTCAAGGAGAACAGTTTTTCTCCCACCCTTTTAGATACTTGTAATACCCTTTTCGGTCTTCAAACGTTCATTGCACGTTGTTGGTTTTGTTCTCTTCTCAGTATTTTTACTTGGTCTCATCAGAATATTTAGTCATAAACGGTGTTCTTTCTAATTTATGTCCATGTGCATCATTAATTTTGTATGTGCACCACTGTGGAGGTTATCTGACAGATAACCTTCATATTGGTGTGCTTAAAAAATTAATTTCACACATGGACATAACAAATTAGAGGGTGGGGCAGCATGGTTTGGAGTGTAGGAGGAAGGCTCAGACTAGGGCAGAGGTTTGGAGTAGGGGGTGAGGGCTCCAGCTTTGTGGTTACAGTGATAAGGGTCTTGGGGTGCAGGAGGGTGCTCTAGGGTTGTGTTGGAGAAAGAGGAATCTCCCCAGCTCTCTCTTGATGTAGTAGCTTGGGGCTAGGTGAGAGGTGCCTTTTCCCTACCACAGCAGCTCTAGCAGGGCTGGGATGGGAGAAGGGTACCACTCCATGGCTACAGCAGGTGCTGGGTCTTTTGGGGCCAGGGCACCAGTCTTCTTCCCTGACAGGTCCGACTGGGTCTGGGTCCCCTTCTCCTGTTGGGTCTTGGTTGAGGCTAAGGTACCAGTTCACTTCCCTGGCTATGAGAGGTCCAGGCAGGGCTGGGGTATGAGTATCTGTCTCCCAGCCGGGCAGGTCTGGATTGAGTCAGAGCCGGGAAGCCTGTCATGGAATCATAAAAGATTAGGGTTGGAAGACACCTCAGGAGATCATTTAGTCCAACTGCATGCTCAAAGGAGGACCAACCCCAACTAAATCATTCTAGCCAGGTCTGTCAAGCCTGGATTTAAAAACCCCTTAAGAATGGAGATTCCACTTCCTCCCCATTCCATTCTAACCCAGTCCAATGTTTCATCACCTTCCTAGTGCAATAATTTTTCCTATTATCCAATCTAGACCTCCCCTGCTGCAATTTGAGACCTTTGTTTCTTGTTCTATCATCCGCCATGACTAATAGCTTAGCTCCATCCTCTTTGGAACCAACCCCCTTTAGGTACTTGAAGGCTGCTATCAAATCCCCCCTCACCCTTCTGTAAACTAAATAAACTCAAATCCCTCAGCCTCGCCTCATAAATTATGTGCCCTACCCACTAATCATTTTTGTTGCCCTCTGCTGGATTCTCCAGTTTGTCCACATCCATTCTTTAATGTGGGACTCAACACTTTATCTCAGACAGGTGCATTGGCCTTATCAGTATCAAATAGAGGGGAATAATCACTTCCCTCATTATACTGACAATGCTCCTGCTACTGCAGACCATTGTGCTGTTTCCTTTCTTGGCAACAAGGGTACGCTGTTTTTTCATATCCAGCTTCTCATCCACTGTTTGTTCCCAGGTCGTATTCTGCAGAACTGCTTTGCCAGTTAGTCTCCAGCCTGTAGCAATGCATGGTCTTCTTCCATCTTGACTCTACCCTTGTCCTTGTTGATCCTCATCAGATTTCTTTTGGCTCAATCCTTCAGTTTGTCTAGGTCACTCTGGACCATATGCCTACTCTCCAGCATATCTGCATTTCCCGCCACCTTAGTGTTATCCACACACTTGCTGAGGGTGTAATCCATCACATCATCCAGATAATTAATGAAGATGTTGAACAAAACTGGCCCCAGGACTAACCCCTGAGGCACTCTGCTTGATACCAGCTGCCAACATGAAGCTGGTGGTCATTACCCATTGAACCCAACAGTCTAGTCAGCTTTCTGTTCACTTTATAGTCCATTCATCCAAACCATATTTCTTTATATTGCTGGTAAGAATACTGTGGGAGCCAGTATCAAAAGATTTGTTAAAGGCATAGTATATCCTTTCTCCTGGCTACAGTAAGCTTGGTCAGGGATTGTGGGGGAGAGGGGAAGGGACATGGCAGCTGGAATTTGGGAAGTGCTCTTCTCCCTGGCACTCTCCTGAGCACTTGTGCTATGCTTAATAGGCAGCTGTGCAGCTGTGTGGCCACACAGCATAGAGGGTACTTAGGACCAAGTTTTTCAAGTATGAGTTCAAGACAAGCCTGTTTTGCTCTATTTCACTCTGAGTCTCCATTGAAGAGGATAGTTATGAAAAGGGAAATATTACTGGATATTATATTAATTGATTTCCTCGTTCCAGATTTTACATCTTTTCCTAACAACTCTTGCTTATTTCATTTGTGCTATGATTTTTCTGATCAAAGAGGATGAATATGTTTGCTGTTTGCACCATGTATATGTATATATCCTTCTTAGAGTGATGTCCCCATGGGTGCTCCACTGTTGGTTTCGGGCTTGTCCTGGCACCACAGATCGGAGACTTGTGAAGCAGTGATCAGGCAGGCTGCACATGTGCAAGTGGTGTTCCCACCTTTGAAGTACCATGCACAGAGCGCTTTCCCCTCTGTTTTTTCTTTGATGCCCTCTTGGGCTGCTATTAATGCCCGAAGAAGTGGGGAGGAGGGCAGGTAGTGGAGCACCCACAGGGGATGCACATCTCAAAGAACAATCATTACTGCACAGAGTGAATAACTTCTCTTTCTTCTTTGAGTGATGTCCCCTTGGGTGTTCCACTGTTGGTAACTGTGTAGCAGTGCTTATTTAGATGGAGGATGGGCTTTGATTAATTGCTACAGATTGTGTAGAGAACTGCATAGCTACTGCGGTATCTGTTGTGGAACATGGTGGAATGGTGTAGTGCTTTATGAAAGTGTGATTGAAAGATCATGTTGCTGCTCTGCATATTTCCTGGAGTGAGACCCCCTTGAGGGGGGGGGGTCTTTCTTAATTTAATGGTATTTTGATCTCTTTGCTTTCTGGTGAATAGAACTGTAGCTGAAAAACAGGAGAGCAAGATTGCACTAATCAACTTGGTACATAACTTGTCTTTGCTAATAATTGTTATGTGTTCAAAATTATGGATAATTGTTTTTTTATTTTTAAAAACTAGGATGCTGAAATTAATTATGAAGATCAAATTAATAAAATTATTATGGAGAAACAGGAACTTGAGTGGCAGAAGGTTAGTCATTTTTTCTATAAACCTGATAGTTTTGTATTTAGCTATTAGAATTGCATTTTAATGGGATGTTACTGATTGTAATTAGATACAATAAAATATTAATTTTCTTGCCTTATAGTTTTACCAGTAGTAAAGCATGAGTGGAACTGGGTCTGACAACGATCTTCCATACTACTCGTATTATTTTTGGCATAATGGTAGCTATCATCAGGTTTCTACAAATGTGAAATATTGTTAAACCTACCACAAAATTTGGCATGATTGGAAGTTGTTGTGGAGATGTAGAACCTGAAATAACATTATTGCATGCCACAAATGAGGTATCTTGACAGAACTATGTGGGAGAGTTAATACAACAGCTACCTAGTTTTAACAAGCGATAATACTATTATATTACAGGAACAATAAATTCATTCAGTATCGGGAGAAAACCCAAATATATGTATATTAAACAGTAAGTTACATGTTTATAAATGTCCAGAAGTGATTGGATATCATTAATGCTTCCAAGATGAAGCCTTAAATAAAATGGGTCTCACATTCTTTTTAGCGGTAGGATTCATGAAATTATACTTCAATAGAAAATCCATTCTTTGAGTGATTGCTCATGACCATTCCATTTATGTGTGCACGTGCTGTTTGCATGATTGTCTGTAGGTTTTTCGCTTGGCGATAACTGTTGGGCCCACAGAGGAGACCCCTAGAATGACACCCATGCATATATATTCCTGCAGGCCAGCCACCCCTCAGTTCCTTCTTGTTTCCCGTGATGGTTGTTGGAACTCTCCTCTCTTGCTTCAGCAAGTGCATCTTTAAGCAGTTCCTTGTTTCAGTTAATTAGTAGTTGTTCTAATTGTAATTTTCAGGTTATCTCTACTTAGTATAGTCTGTTAGGGTATGTCTACACTACCCCGCTAGTTCGAACTAGCGGGGTAATGTAGGCATACCGCACTTGCAAATGAAGCCCGGGATTTGAATTTCCCGGGCTTCATCTGCATAAGCGGGGCTCCGCCATTTTTAAAACCCCGCTCGTTCGAACCCCATGCAGCGCGGCTACACGGGGCACGAACTAGGTAGTTCGAACTAGGCTTCCTACTCCATGAGGAGTAACGGTAGTTCGAACTAGGAAGCCTAGTTCGAACTACCTAGTTCGTGCCCCGTGTAGCCGCGCTGCATGGGGTTCGAACGAGCGGGGTTTTAAAAATGGCGGAGCCCCGCTTATGCAGATGAAGCCCGGGAAATTCAAATCCCGGGCTTCATTTGCAAGTGCGGTATGCCTAAATTACCCTCCTAGTTCGAACTAGGAGGGTAGTGTAGACATACCCTTAGTTAGTGTGGGGTTCTCACCCCACGTGTTTTCCTTGCGCTGAGGCATGCCTGGGCCTCAGGGCTTTAAGCTCTATACAAAGTACCTGAAGCCTATGCTCTATGGAGACCCGCATGACACATGTCAATTGCCTTGGGGAAGCTCATCTTTTGGTCAACTGCAAGATCTGTTGGAGTTTTAACCATGAACCAAGTGAGAAAGGTTAAAAATCAATGAATAGTCCTGTAGCACCTTAGAGACTAACAAAAATGTAGATGGTATCATGAGCTTTCATGGGCACAACCCACTTCTTCAGGTGAATGGAGTTAAGAGGTCCAGAGAACGAATAAATAGCAGTGAAAGAGAGGGGATGGGGAAGGAAAAAGAAGGAAAAAATGGGGGGAAATATTGTCAATTAGTGTGCCCATGATAAATGAGGCTAATAGAGTAGGCTCTAAGTACCTGGTGCTTAGCTTTTTATGTCATTAGGGTGTGGAATGCAGCAGCCCATTCAGTTCAGGTCTTTGTTCAGATCTTGATTCCAGGTGTCAGACTTGTAACTGAAACCAAGTTCTGCAGTTTCTCTCTCAAGTTGATTTTTGAAATGGCTTTGTAATAATACAGGAGGTATCTTGACAGAACTATGTGGGAGAGTTAATACAACAGCTACCTAGTTTTAACAAGCGATAATACTATTATATTACAGGAACAATAAATTCATTCAGTATCGGGAGAAAACCCAAATATATGTATATTAAACAGTAAGTTACATGTTTATAAATGTCCAGAAGTGATTGGATATCATTAATGCTTCCAAGATGAAGCCTTAAATAAAATGGGTCTCACATTCTTTTTAGCGGTAGGATTCATGAAATTATACTTCAATAGAAAATCCATTCTTTGAGTGATTGCTCATGACCATTCCATTTATGTGTGCACGTGCTGTTTGCATGATTGTCTGTAGGTTTTTCGCTTGGCGATAACTGTTGGGCCCACAGAGGAGACCCCTAGAATGACACCCATGCATATATATTCCTGCAGGCCAGCCACCCCTCAGTTCCTTCTTGTTTCCCGTGATGGTTGTTGGAACTCTCCTCTCTTGCTTCAGCAAGTGCATCTTTAAGCAGTTCCTTGTTTCAGTTAATTAGTAGTTGTTCTAATTGTAATTTTCAGGTTATCTCTACTTAGTATAGTCTGTTAGGGTATGTCTACACTACCCCGCTAGTTCGAACTAGCGGGGTAATGTAGGCATACCGCACTTGCAAATGAAGCCCGGGATTTGAATTTCCCGGGCTTCATCTGCATAAGCGGGGCTCCGCCATTTTTAAAACCCCGCTCGTTCGAACCCCATGCAGCGCGGCTACACGGGGCACGAACTAGGTAGTTCGAACTAGGCTTCCTACTCCATGAGGAGTAACGGTAGTTCGAACTAGGAAGCCTAGTTCGAACTACCTAGTTCGTGCCCCGTGTAGCCGCGCTGCACGGGGTTCGAACGAGCGGGGTTTTAAAAATGGCGGCACCCCGTTTATGCAGATGAAGCCCGGGAAATTCAAATCCCGGGCTTCATTTGCAAGTGCGGTATGCCTAAATTACCCTCCTAGTTCGAACTAGGAGGGTAGTGTAGACATACCCTTAGTTAGTGTGGGGTTCTCACCCCACGTGTTTTCCTTGCGCTGAGGCATGCCTGGGCCTCAGGGCTTTAAGCTCTATACAAAGTACCTGAAGCCTATGCTCTATGGAGACCCGCATGACACATGTCAATTGCCTTGGGGAAGCTCATCTTTTGGTCAACTGCAAGATCTGTTGGAGTTTTAACCATGAACCAAGTGAGAAAGGTTAAAAATCAATGAATAGTCCTGTAGCACCTTAGAGACTAACAAAAATGTAGATGGTATCATGAGCTTTCATGGGCACAACCCACTTCTTCAGGTGAATGGAGTTAAGAGGTCCAGAGAACGAATAAATAGCAGTGAAAGAGAGGGGATGGGGAAGGAAAAAGAAGGAAAAAATGGGGGGAAATATTGTCAATTAGTGTGCCCATGATAAATGAGGCTAATAGAGTAGGCTCTAAGTACCTGGTGCTTAGCTTTTGATGTCATTAGGGTGTGGAATGTAGTGGCCCATCCAGTCCAGGTCCTTTTTTAGACCTTGTTTCCAGGTGTCAGACTTATACATTTCAGGGTCCACTCTGTGTGGACATGCTAGTTCGAATTAGCAAAACGCTAATTCGAACTAGTTTTTTAGTCTGGATGCGTTAGTTCGAATTAGCTTAGTTCGAATTAACTAATTCGAACTAAGTTAGTTCGAATTAGCGCTGTAGTGTAGACATACCCTTAGATCCATTAGTGAGTTCCCAGGAAAGTTGTGTTTTAATTTTTTGTAAGTAAGAGTCTAACATGGCTACCTCTCTGAAACATCAAGGGATACACAGTTGAAAATCCTCTTTATGGAGTCTGCACTCCATCCTGCACTGACCTCTGATTCAGGACCAGCAAGCTATAACACACTGGCATCAGTACAGGAGGCCACAGGCGCGTCTCGACCCTCCTTAGTACTGAGACACACCAGTGCCCAGTACCACTCCCAGTCTCCAGTGCTACAAAAGAAAAAAAGATCTGAGAGGGGTAGATCTCCACCACAGCACATGCAAAGACTGTGTCCCCAACTGGGGCTCTTTAAAGCTCTGGCTCCGTCAGCAAGACCATCTGCTCCTGCGACTGTTTGGTGCCAGTAGAGCCCGATACAGGCGCCCAGTCTGGAGGAAGAGATAACTACAGAAATGGACCAGCCATTGATTATGGACACATGCAAGGCAGCCAGAGAATTAATTGAACTGACCTCCTCTGCAGCTTTAGCATCATCCTTGGAGCACTGTGTGAACTCTCAGGCCTTGGTACAGGCAGAAGCACTGGCACTGAGAAAACAGGGGGAAAACAGCCTGTAGGGTGGCAGCATCAGCAGTACCGGCCCCTCCCATGGTACTGCAGACATCGGCACTGTCTGCCTTGACCTTGGCTCTGCTGGCACTGGCTCCATCTCCAGCAGTGTCTCCGGACATGGTATCGGCACTCAGGCATTGTGGTTCGGCACTAAGGGAAGCCCACACCTCACAGCACCGATTGCCAGTGGTGACCTCATCGTCATCTCCATGGGTGACATCGGAATACTCCTTGGATTTGGAGGCAGTCAGTCATTTCCAGAGCTATTGCCCTCAGCACTGATCTTACTACCAACACCACTCCCGGCACTGAAGAACCTCCATGCAACCTCTGCAACCTACCTGGCCACCCCAGTGGCAACCCCCAGTGCAATGACCTTTTTGGACTGTGTAGGTCTACCATCAGGCCCAGTATGTTATCACCTCATGACTGAGTTCTGTCTACTCAGGGTCCTGGGTACTGCCATCTGCAGTCTACTCCCATGGTCCCCTAGTTCAGGCTGTGGACAGAGCCCCAATAAGGATTCACCCAGAATACCACTAGAGGGGTATGCAGTAGTTGAACTGCATAAGGTACCAGAGCAGACATCTGTCTCTCAGGACCTTGAACCCCATCAAAAGCTTGAGGATCAAGCCTTGCAGGAATCCTCTTCCCCATCCCCAGATGAGGCTTTGGCGGGTTGATCACACTCTATGTTCTCTATGGACTCTTGTACTCACCAGGAGCATCTGAAACTCTGACCCAAAGACTGGGGG